TGGCGAAACGTTAGGAAAAACCACCTTCAGAACACAGCCAAGAAGCCCGAAAAACCCACAACAACCATTAGATCCCGGCCGTGAAAGCCTTCGTGAATACAAGGGGGTAATGTCAACGTATATAAAATTTTTAGGGGGTAAAAGGTAAAAAAAGTTCCCTGATCCCTGTGCTACATCACATCATCTTTGTTGGTGCTTCTCAATCGGATAAACGCAAAGGCCAGAAGGCAAGACTTGCACTACTGCCTGACATCCAGCAGGTGGCAGCAGCCGTACTCCAAATGGAGGGCTGATTTCTTGCCCCAGATCAGGCCATTAATCAGCGTGCAATAAAGAACTTAAACCATTTGAGTACAAAGATAAGCTAATACAGGTTTTATTATTTCTTTCCCTCTATGACTTAAAAAGTTAAACTGTGCATCACAATTTTTCATACATATGCTTGCAAAGAACAAAATTACTAAACTTGGGGAGGGGAGGGCAGGGGTATTCATTAACCCTTCAGCTGCTGTAACTGATGAAGCCCTGTGAAAAACATGTAAAATATACAATTGATTTGATTTTTTTAAAAGTTTGTAATAATTGTGTATAGGGCACAGCCATGAATTAAAAGAATAACTAGCAATTTTTTGGTGATTAAAATTATGGCTGATTACCCCCTCCTTTGATTGGCGGTGGGTGTTTTATCTTGAGTTTGTTTTGATGAGTGGCATTATGTGTTTGTATGTGATCATTTTGTACACAAGTTTAGGAAAATTAGCAAAATAAATAATCAAAATTTTATAAAGCAGTAATATAATTAAAATGAAAGGGAAAATAATGGATGTCATAAGCAATTGTTTGTATATGTGCTGTTACAGTCGTAGATTTTGCTCGTATTATCTGAATTTTTCCAGGCAAAGGCAAAGCTGTGATAGGTTCCCTCTGTTTCCCTCCAGTTCCCTAGGATATGGCAGGCTAAACTCAAATATCCCTGCTTGCAAGAGCTCCATATATAAGCATCTTCTCCCTACGAAAAGATCTTCGCTTTTCTTCTGGTTTTAAAGCTTTTGTTCTAGTTTTAAAGCTTCTTGTATGGAACATTTTGAGAGCACTCTTTCTCTCCCTCTCCCCACCCCTTGTGTCTTAAAACAAAATCACTTGCTTTGAACTGGAAACCTTGGTAACAGCCTCCTGTTGGCAGAACATGAATCCTTTCCCTTTCC